ATACATCTTCTATTTGTATGCAGTCAAATTTTTTTCACCTACTTTGAACTATATTTGTGAGCAATCTAACTCTGACAAGATTCTAGCTTTGTGTGCTATTAGACATAATATGAGAGCTTCATGTCTAATACCAACTGTGTTTCCATCCAAAGGAAATGACTTCTTCCTGCCTCTTATCATTTTAGAGTTTTTATTTTTCTTCTCTGCTTTATCGGGAGTAGGAGGAATTATAGACCTGTCATGGGGAACTTAGTCCACCTGTATCAGAAATATCAATTATTTCCACTGTTGTTTTTTGGTTTTCCTCTTTAGCTTCCCATTGACCGGGGTGGAGGTGAAGGAAAGGCCATGTACATCGACACTGAGGGTACCTTTAGGCCAGAACGACTGCTAGCAGTGGCTGAGAGGTAGGTTACTTATTAAACTAGAAAATATATGGCTGCACTTGTCACTGTGCAGAGTCTCACTGAATTGCTCAGGGCCTCAGCCTCCTGAGCAACTGGGATTATAGGCATGTACCATCACACCTAGCATGACTTACAGATTTCAACACTATTCCCATAAAAATTACAGCAAGCTTTTTTGCCAAAATTGACAAATTTATTCCCGTATAAAATTGATACGGGAATGTAGGAGACTCAGAAAAACTAAAACTAACACTGGTGATTGCCAGTGTTAGTTTGGCTAAAGAATATCTCTTGTGTTACTTCACATCCCAAATTATGTATATGGTTCAAAAGAATGGTCTTCTGTAGTAAAAGGAAAAGGGGGTGGAGGCATTATTTAGTCAATGTATTAATCACTGTCAGACTGGATAAAAAATAAATTTATGGGGCTGGGATTGTGGCTCAGCGGTAGAGTGCTCGCCTGGCACGTGCAGAACCCTGGATTCGCTCCTCAGCACCACATAAAAATAAATAAGTGAAATAATAAAGGCATTGTGTCCAACTATAACTAAAAAATAAATTTAAAAAATAATAATAAATAAAAATAAATCCAACTACATACTGACTTCCAAAGAAACACTTCAAATTCAAAGACAAATAGGTTGAAAGTAAAAGGATAGAAAAAGATGTCACATGCAAACAGTCACCATAAGGAGGATGAATAGTTATATCAGACAAAATAAATTTTAAGACAAAAAAATAATAATACTGATAAGGGACATTTTATAATTAAAAGGTCAGTTCACCATCAATAAAAAAAATCTTAAATATATACACACCTAACAGCAGAACACCAGAATAAGTGAAACAAAAACTGAAGTAATTGAAAGAAAAAAAATGGACAATTCAACAATATTTGGGGACCAATATCACTCTCACTTTCAATAATAGATGGTACTTTCAGTGTCAATAATGAGTTGAAGGCCTTGGTGAAGGTTGTTATTTTCATCAACTTTTTTGTTGCTGTGCCAAAAGACCCAACAATAAGAATAAGAGGAGAAAAAGTTTATCTGGTTCACAGTTCCAGAGGTTTCAGTCCATACATAGATGTCTAAAACAGTGATTATGAGTTTAAGCTCATAATCTGATGTGTCTGTGTATTCTTGCATCGTCTCACATATGAGCTTTTGTGGGGCATCTCAGATCTAAATCATAATAGATGTCTATGAAAAATCTATTACTGGCATCATACTTAATGGTGAGATTTTGAATGCTGTCCTCTTAATGTCAGGAAAAAGGTGGTAGGTAGGTCCTCGCCAATGCAGTCAGATAAGAAAATGAAATAAAAGGCATCCAGTTTTGGAATGGAAAAAGTAAAACTGTCTATTTGCTGATGACATGATGACTGTATGTAGAAAATCTTAAGGAATCCATACAAAAACTAGAACTAGAAAAAAAAAAGTTCAGCAAGGTTGTGGGATACCATGTCAATATGCAAAAATTAATTGTGTTCCTATATATTATCAAAGAAATTCAAAAAACAGTTTCAGAGGCTGGGGATATAGCTTAGTTGGTAGAGTGCTTGCCTTGCATGCATAAGGCCCTGGGTTCAATCCCCAGCACCACAAAAAACAAAACAGTTCCAGTTACAGTAGAATGAAAAAGAATTAAAACAGTGGACAGGTATGGTAGCACTTGCCTGTACTTTCTGCTGCTTGAGAGTCTGAGATAGAAGGATCTCTTGAGCCCATAGTTCTAGACCATTCTGGGTAACATTGTGAGACCTGTCTCAAAAAAGAAAGAAAATGTTTCAGAATAAATCTGACAAAAGTAAGACACATTGAAAACTATAAGCCTTGCTAACAGAACTTGAAGATGAAATTCCACATTCATGGGTTAAAGACTCTACTATTAAATGGCAGTCTTCCTTAAATTGATATACAGATTTTTTTTTTTTCTTTTTTGGTACGGGGGATTGAACCCTGGGGTACTTAACCACTAAATGATATATCCCCACCCTTTTTTATAAATATAAATAAAATAGAGACAGAGTATCACTGAATTGCTCAGGGCCTCAGCCTCCTGAGCAACTGGAATTATAGACATGTACCATCACACCTAGCATGACTTACAGATTTCAACACTATTCCCATAAAAATTACAGCAAGTTTTTTTGCCAAAATTGACAAACCAGTTATAAAATTGATATGGGAATGTAGGAGACTCAGAAAAAACAAAATATTCTTGAAAAAGAAAGAAGAAAATTGAAGGTCTTAGACTTCCCAATTTAAAAACTCATTATGACCGGGATTAGTGATAACCTACCTATACTCCTAACTACTTGGGAAGCTGAGGCAGGAGGATTGCAGTTCAAGGCTAACGCAGTATACTGTCAATTTAGCTGAGACCCTGTCTCTAAATAAAATTTAAAGGGCTGGGGATATAACTCAGTATTTTCCTAGCATATGTAAGGCCTTGAGATCAGTCCCCAGAACTGCCAAAAATAAATATATAAGCTCATTATAAAGTAATTAAGTAATTGTGATCATGGCACAAGGATGAATTGAATTAAGAGTTCAAAAATAAAACCTTTAATATCAATGCGGAAAAAAAAGAATAGCCACTTACTGTACATGGTACTAGTAATTACTAGTAACATGGTTATTCAAAAACATTAAACACAAACTGGGTATGATGGCGCACACCTGTGATCCCAACGGCTTTGGAGGCTGAGACAGAAGAATGGCAAGTTAAAAGCCCGCCTCAGCAAAAGCGAGACACTAAGCAACTCTATGAGACCCTGTATCTAAAAATAATACAAAATAGTTCTGGGGATGTGGCTCAATGGTCAAATGCCCCTGAATCCAATCCCTGGTACCTAAATAAATACAGAATAATTGCCATATGATCCAGTTATTTCCACTTCTGAGTGTATATGCAAAAGAATTTAAAGCAGGGAAGCACTTGAAAATGCAGTACACTGTTAATCAGCAATCACAATCAAAACAACACAACAATCAAAGGGTGGTAACAACCCAAATGTTCATTGGCAAATGAATGGATAAGCAAAATGTGGTATGTATACATACAATGAAATATTACTTGGCCTTAGGAAGGAAGAAAATTCTGACACACAAAACAGTATGGACATTATGATAGGTGAAATAAGCCAATCATGAAAGGAAAATACTGTGATTCTACTATGTACTAGAGTAATCAAAGTCATGGAGACAGAATAAATTAGAATGGTGCTTACTTGTAAACAAAATCAAGAGCTATTGTGTATGACATTTATTGTTAAATTTATTGAATGTCTCAATTAGTAAATTAATAAATAATGTTTTATCCATCAATAGAATGTTGTCTAGCAATTTAAAAATATTTAAACATTGATACATGTTACAATATGAATGAACCTAAAAACATGCTGGTGGAAGTTAAATATAAAAGATCACATACTGTACAATCCATTTATATGAAATTTCCAAAGGGAAAAAATCTATGAAGACAATAAAATTATGTATATTGAGGGTAAGAATCTGGAATAACTGCAAATGGACTTAGAGATATTTGTGGTTATAAATGTTCCACAGTTGGACTGTGTAGATGGTTGTACAAATCTGCAAATTTACTTAAACTTGCTGAATTTTGTATTTACAACACATTTGCTTTTTGATATATTACTTACATTGCAGTAAAGCTGATACATCTTTCCAATGAACTCAAAATTATTTTCTTCTGTTTAGGCTTAAATATGATAATTTAGTTTTTATCACACATTTTACTGAAACTCAATTAAAGAGAATTTACTTCGTGTTGGGTTGTCAGATTCAAGTTGAAACCTGCCTGATTAATTTGAGAATATTTTCTCTAGTTTTATAATTATAATAAAATTCTCTTTCCTATTTGATAATCAGAGGGATCCAATCCGTTCAATATATACCACTGAAGCATAAAATTAGGTTGAAACAATAATTGTAGCACTTTACCTCTGCTTACATGAGAAAAAAAGAATTATTCTCTTTTGCAACCTGACCTTAGTTCTCTGAAGCTGTATGTGCTGAACTGTCTTCTCTCCCAGGCTTGTTTAGCAGTCTTTTGGATAGAATCACTAAGACTTTTTCCAGTAATATAGGAAGTATTCAGATAATATAGAAGAATATAAGCCATGAGGATGGAAACTTTGTTTTGGTCACTCACTGTATCCCATAGCCCTAGAACTATTCACTCATTTATTAATGAATTAATTACTTTATTAATTAGGGCCATGTTTATGATGATTTTTTTCATTGAAGAGAAAATATGTTTGAATAGAAATTAATTCATCTTAGTCACACCTACCTAGTGAGAAAATTTTTAGAATTGAATTTCCATGTATATATGTTGCTTTCAATTGATAGTTCTGGAAAGTCATAGGCCTCCTTAAACTAATATCCAATTTCTGTTCCCAGCAGAACAGAATTTGCCATGAACATTTGAAGAATACTAAACCACAATCAGGTTACTATGGCACAGGATTCCCAGAATGTGTGCATTAGCACACATGTACATGAAAACAGCTACATTAGCAGCTGGGAACTTGTTAGAAATGCAAATGGTAGCCAGGTGCAGTGGCATAGGCTTGAAATTTCAGCTGAAACTGAGGCAAGAGATAACCAAGTTTGAGGACAGCCTGGGTAATTTAATGAGACTCTGTCTCCAAAAAAAAATAATTTGTTAAAGTGTAGGCAAAGTGGTAGAATACCTGCCTAGCATGTGCAATGTAATCCCCAATGTCTCAAAATCTCTCTCTCCTCTCTCACTCTCTCTTTAAAAAAAAAACACAAAAAAAAAAAAAAAAAACTATCCCCATCCCTATCTCCTTATCCCCATGATAGAATCATGAACTAGAATAAGCTCAAAGAATTACAGAACACTGGATTTTCTTTAAACACTATCCCTCCATCCATCCATATCTCCCTTTCTCTTGTGTTTTACTGAGAAATGAACCCTGGGACCTACATCCCCAACTATTTTATTTTGAGACAGAGTTTCATTAGGCTGTCAAGGCTGGCCTCAATCTTGAGATCCTTCTGTTTTCTGTGTTCCAATTCACTG